TTTTTGCTTCTTCTCCTGTTATATAATATTTATGAATTTTTTTTGTTTTATTTTGTTGTTTTTTTTTTTATCATTTCTGTAGACTCGAAGTTTATCACATGGATGACAATTGGCAATAGAATCGCATTTGGGAACCAAATTCACTCCGCTATCACTATGGCACTGAAACAGTGTTCCTGATATGGTAGGTCTACGAGGGCCAATCTGAGAGACGTGACCGCTTCAGCATGGGCCCGTTGTCGTAATCGGAAGTAGGCGGACCTCCTCCGCCGTTGCCGCCACCTCCTCCACCACCGCCGCCGCCTCCTGTCGGAGATGATACGTTTGGCGGAGTCATTGCCAGCTGACCGCCGGCCGAGTTGGGCCTGGGATGGTGGCCGTGGCTCAAGTTGATGGTATGCGAAAGCGGTGGGTGCAGGTGGTGTTCGCGGGGCGGCGATATCGGCTCGCTCTTGATTTTGACGGGATGCGGTGACGAGAGCGTCGGCGAGCTGGGCATGTTGAGGTGCAGACCGCTGCTGTGCGCCAAATTCGAACTTGTCCACGATGACATCGAACTCAGTCCTATTTCCTGTCCGATGGAGAAATCATGCGGCACGAATGATGACAGCTGCGGGTATCCCAATACAGGTGTCTGTAAAGCAGACCACTTAAATGCCACCAAACTAATACACTCTACTCTGTGCTGCTGCTCACTTCGGAAAGCCAAAGGCGCATTCGACCGATTCAGTGCACCCTTGGCCTTTCGAGGGCAACCTTCTACCAACTACTCACCTCGCCGTATTGTCCATCATCGGTTCCTACGCTCAGCGGCGCAGGTATGACGACTCGCAGGTTGGATCGTGGTACAGGTGAATGCTGCTTGCCATGCTTGGAGGAGCTTAGCCCTTGCACTGGACTAGGTCCTGGTGACGGAGATTCCCCCATCGGTGACGCAGAGTTCGGATATCCGTTGCTCATCTCCAACATCGCACCACTCGGATAAGCTGTGTCGGCTTCAGAAGAGGATGGTCTCGGGCTAATGCTTGTGTGAGCCATTTGTGGACTAGACTGAAGTAGATTCCCCCCAGCGTCTCCATATGTTATGTTCACGGGCTGAGTATAATTATTAGTGCTCATGCTGATCTGTAATATATTAAATACAATAAATCAATATTTTTTTCAACAAAAATTTCATTCATTCTTAAAAATGTTAAGAACATTTATTATTTGGGCCAAATATCTTTTGAAAAAATACATGTACTAATACATGTTAGGTAATAATAAAATATTATTATTTACAATTCTGGTGGCAGTATAATAGTCTTGTCCATTAGAATCTCAATATTTTATTTACTATTAATATTGGTAACGTTTTAAGTTTATATTTGTGTTTGATTTTCTTAGCAGATTTTCCACCAGTTTATTAGGATAAGATTGTAGTCACCTTTGATAATTCGAAGTTGATTGTAATTTGACTCTTATTAGCTAGTTCCATATCTTATTTAATTATAAATACAAAAAATACCATAACAATATTGAATTATAAATATGATAAAGTTTTGTTTGACCAATGATATACATAACTAATAGTTCTACTCATTACGCAATTTGTAACGCATTAAAAAGTTGGTTGAATTAGCTTATCATTGAGTCCAATGACAATGACATTGAAATGCTGATTTGCGGTGCGTAGCTAGAAATATCGGGCCCTTCTCAAAGCATGAGGACCATGCTGGTTGTCTCACTAACACTGTTTTGGGGGTCGCATTAAAGTTGTCGTGGGTCCTTAGTAACTTCACAACAAAATATATATTCTTATAATTCCAACTATTCGCATCAAATTATATAACTATATATAATTACTGGCCTTAAAGTGGACTAACATTGTAAGATGTGAGAATATTTATGTGTTATTTTACTTTAGCACAACAGTTGACTTAAATTTCAGATTTGTTACAATTAACGAATATTTGAAAATATACAATTATGAAAATTTGTGATTGAATAATGCAAAACTGTATTTAATTTATTCAAAATTAATTTGAAAACAATTTTTTTTAATGTAATTCTACATATTTGTAAAAATAATAATAAACAAAGTATATTGTATAACTAAATGCAAAGGTCTATATTATGATCAATTTCCTGTTTCAATTATTGACAAGATTTATTGGCACGAAATCGTCCCAGTTTACGCCATAAAGATAATAATTATACGATATTTGATAATTTAACCTAATAGAAATATTTATTAAATTTTCGGTATTTATATACTGACAGTTATATGAATTGAAAATTTTCACTCACTGAAATTAGGTATTAAATATGTAGTTTGAACTTGAGCTCCAGATGATGTCATGAGCGAAAACTGGCAAAACAAAATAAAACACGTCGATCGATCACACCGTGTTAATGATCGTATCGTGTGCTCACTCAAATCACCACTTTGATTTCAGTTGTTGTGCGGGTATTTGCATTGATTTTGTATTAATCTAGTTCAAAATGGCCTGATCGATGACAATAACTAATTGACAGATGTCAATTATACTCAAGTTTCATATACGTAATTCGTTGTAAATGTTACCGGTAAAGTGTATAATGTCAGAATTCTATATAATGAATATCCCATATACAAATAATGGAATTATTCTGTTAACGTTGAGGCCCCTAGACTAACACAGTTTGGGGCCCTCAATTAATAGTATTTGGGTAGCTCTTGGGTACACTGTTTTGGGGCCTCGATTCAAACTATTTGAGGGACCCTGTGGCTGCAGCACATAAAAATCATGGCCAAATTCACCCTTGGATTATATCATTTAAATAGATCATGTAAATCGCTAATTAAGTAATTCGCTGTATGAAACATGAAGAATATTGAATGATAATGCGCATGATGATTTGCAAAATCGGCGAGACGGTGTAATGCAATTCATATCAATCGTATCCGAGTTATCTCTGCTACAGTTAACACATCGGTTTTGGAATACTATCAAAAGCAATACATAGGAAAAAGAAGTCAGATACATAAGTCGCGAGATAAAAATAAATCTGGGGATGAGTCAAAATCCTAAATTTAGCGTCCGTGTAACGGGGAGTCACACTTGGTGAAACGTAGTTTTGATTTTTGAATCATTTTCCTTTCGCCGCTCTAACGATAATTCTTCTTTAGAATGAAACGCATTTATTCCAATAACAAAAAAACAAACCAGATAATAAATTAATAGCCAAATTAGCAATTTTATGATAAATTAAAATATTTCTTCTATCTCATGCTTGTTATTATAATCTATCAACTTCTGTACTTCCAAAATATGTTCAAGATATCTTAAAATACAGACAATATTTTATATTGCATGATTCTTAAATCTAACAAAATTATAAATCAAATTGTTAATTATTGTTCCGCAAAAAATCCTACTTCCTAAAGCGAACAGCGAATATGATCTTGAACCTATTTCCAAATTTAAATAAGGATGCCCAGAACTTACTTCATCCGATCCGTGACAAAATTAGATTTGTACACAGCTTGGCTTCTTCCTTATTTATTTTCTGCTTTAATTTTTTATATTATCAATTATTACTTGTTGATTAGTAAAATCCTTTATAAACGTTATAAATCTAATAATCCTTTTGACATCATAAAACGATTAATTTCAATGATTAAAATTCAATTATTTATTTACAAAATACTTATGTTAATATGATAATAATATTATTAAAACACCTTTAACTATTTATATTTATGATATCAAACTTCTATAGCTTTTGACATATGCAAAAAAAAATATATTCATACAATTCGATCTGTAACGTTAACTTATATATATATATGCTATATATTAGCATTTATTTAAATAATTTTGTCCTAATGAGGACAATAGCCCTTTGTATGTAATTATTGTTTAGTATTATTTGTCCTAATGTTACTAAATTGTATAATTGGACAGAAAACGCAAATTCTTTAATGAACTGTAAATGTTTGTGCTAAGCTGTTTCTATATAAATAAATCAAAGATTGATTCGGTTGAATAAGTAATTTATGCCCTAAATCGTATGTCATATAAATTCATTATTCTGGTCGAGGGAGGAATCAATAGCAAATAAACGTCCTCCAATCGGAAATATTGCTTTAGAAATATTAGTTCTAATAAATATTTGTAAAATAGTATTGTTACAATAATATTTTTTGAATTTAATCAAAGATGTAGATTGTTCTATTAATAAACAATAATTTGTAAAGTTTTATTTTTATTTGGATCATGATTTCTGAACTTGTAACCTTCCTAATGTCTTGTGTGATACAAGTGACGATGTAAAGAAAGATTGAATTATGATGAATTAACATGTGCAAGTAGGTGAATCGGAAGAAAAAAATCGAATAATAAGTAATAATGGTAAAAGGTTGTAGTTGACTGAATCGTCCCGGCTCGGTTCGGTTCAGCTCAGTCATATATCTAACACGCATACTGCGAACGCGTGACGCGTACGCCTATTCATTTATGTCAGATGTACATGTCACAGGCAATTTCCGACTCTAAAGTTCTTCCCAAAATCGCCGTGAACGAGACTTTGTTTATATAAATAGAATACGAAAATATGCATACCCTTTGTTGTCCGTTCATTTGGTTGCGTTGTAACATCATTTGGAACTCCTCGTCGATTTTGCTGTACTTGGCTTCGGTGCGTGGCGTCAACTGGTACTCGGTTTCCGGTTCCGGGCTGTCAGGACTCATCACTCCGTTCTTATGCTCCTTCTTATTAAGTGCCTGCAAGTGTCAGTGGACCAGCTCATGGAGATAGGCAGCCTCTAGGGCTCTCACACACACACCACACATACTAATTGACAGTTTAATGATACTAATCCATGTGACAGTTATTGTCACCGACTAATAGACACGGGATTGCATTTCCATTTGATATACGAACTTTAGAGCGGCGATCGATAACATTCGCATGGATTAATATCGCAATATATCATCTACCACACAACTAGCATGACAAGGTTTTGTAAATGGGTTATTATAAACTCAAGCAACAACTCGTGTGAATAACAGGCAAATGCATTAAATCGATAACTAAAACTCAGAGAGTAAGCAAAAATATAGTAAATCAAAAAATGAGGAGGTACAACAACAAATTGGTTAGATTCCGGTTGCCGGATGCGTTTCTCGGCTTTTTTAGCTTTCCGTTTCGCTCATTTTTTTTTGAAGAAATGACATAATAATATAGCTCGTTAGTTATTTTTAATCAAACAGTTATCGTGGATTTGATTGCATCAGCCAAGTATTGAGCCACAGTTGCTGCTGGATTTGATGTACCTCGATAATGTTCTTGTTGGTGAGGGACTCGTGCGGCTCATTGTACTCCGTGTACTTGAGCAGAACCTTGTCCATGTCGGTACTGGCATACTGGTATAGTTTGTTGCTGCTGCTGAATATGATCAGGGCAATCTCGCAATCGCAGAGCACCGACAGCTCGTAGGCCTTCTTCATCACACCAAATTTCCTCTTGTTGAAAGTCACCTGCACCCAAAGAAAACAAATACCTCTGTACAGAACTGTAGATTTTTTTTATAGTCAAGATTCAATTTACCTGCCGATTTCGTTCATCCGTAATCCTGGATATTTGTATTTTTTTACGACCCATGGCAGCAATTTTGAATCACTCACTACGAACCACGTGTTGGGGAAGTACGGGAAAAACGCCAATGGCCAGAAAAAAAAAATAATAACTATCGTCGAAAATAGGTCAAATTCTATAACTCTGAAACAAAAGAGATGAAAACAAATTACAAACTTGTTTCAACTATAAATATAAAAACAAATTTTCCCCACTCATGAATAAAGTTTTATTAAAATCATTTGTATTTATGAAAGCGATTAAATATCAATATAACTAAATAAGTTAGTTTATATATAGAAACAAACAATGTTACTATATAGTACGAAATAGTTCTTCCGGGAATTTTAAGATCAGTAATAATGTGCAAATAATGAAATTATCAATGTTAACTAACAAATAACTTTGTTTTAATATGAAAAACAAAGGTTACTACTATATACTATAATATAGTTCTTCTGGGAACTGAAAAGTTATATCGGAAAGCAACTGGAAGTTTCCGCCGCAATTGAATGAACGTGTCAATATTGGTTGGTTTCAAAAGTTACCACAATCGGGACGATAGTGAGATCAAACAGCTGCTCTAAAACTGAATGAACTTTTAATAAACAGCGATAGAAGCTTCTTCAGTTTAATGGAAACAAAAATATGCAAGACGAGTGCCACGGGTTATCCAACGGGAATTTCCTAAATCAACAAGATTCAATTATCGTTGAATCTTGTTCGTTTCGCTTGATGAATAATCAGCATAACAAAGTCTAAAAAGAAATTAAGCTGTTATTGATAGAAAAACAATGCATTTTATGAACATGTTAAATTATTGACATATTCAATTAAGTTACTTGTTAAGTTAATTGACTTGTCTAATTATTGATTAAATCTTGTAGAAAATCCATTATACTGAACACTGACTTAGTATGCATCAAACATTTTTATAATTATTGTTTCCATTACTATTAAATATAATTAATAGCCTAAACAAATTATGAATAATAATGTGTATTTTTCATATATATTTATGCACATAGTTATGTAGAAAATTACAACCGATGTGAACGCATTTGGAAGTGCGTTCATCGAACATTCTGCACTACGCTTACAGCAAAGTTCTCATTTGCTTATGTGTGCCACGTTTGTTTCGTTTCGATGAGCAGCGAGCGAAGGTGTGCTCCAAAAACCGCACACAGGGGGAGACATCAAACAGATTTCCGATAATTGCGCAAAACCGCGATGGAAGCGAAACAAAAGGCGATGATGGTATTTCCAAAAAATCTGAAACTCCATTCGCGACAATATCGAATGCATTGGTTTGAGCGTAACTCTGTTTTCGGAACCGAGATCAAACGGATTTCGCAACAGGATTAAACCTGAAAATAATTGACCAGAGGCAAAGAGAAATAAGTTTTTTTTTTTTGGTATAATTCAGAAACTGTTTTGATTTTAGGCACCAACGAATACATTTTTCAGTAGATCGATGACCCTACCCTACTAGAGCGGAAGTCATAAAACTGTGAGAAACTTAGTGTTTTTCATATAGGTTTATTTTTTCAGTAATTCAGATCACTATAACAAAATTGTAAAATCTAAAAGAAAGTTTAAACAATGGATGATTTTTAAATTTAGGAGAGAAAAAGATCAAAAAGCAATAAGGAAAATTACTTTTTTAAAATAATTTAGAAGTGTGAATATAATTTGAAATAATCCAATGTTGATTTTTACGTTATCAGTTTCAAAGTGTTAAAGTACTTAATTTTTATTTAATAATAATCTTATTTGTGTTTTTCTTTATAATTACGTCTTCTGAAGACATGAAATGGATTTTGAAATACAAAGTAAATATATCATAGAGATGGAAAGTTGTGATTCCTGAAATTCAGTTGCAACATTTACGATTCACAAAACAAATCAAAAGTAGAAAGGGAAATGTTTGTCGGTGGAAAATCGCGAGAAGAGTTCGAGAGATCAAAGCGTTTCACGAACTGTAAAATTGCGCTTCTGAAAGCGAACGCATTTTTTTTGTGTGGGATATTCGTTTTATACTCTACTACGATATATTTAAACTTGGTTATAATTGTTTCATTAAACTTTGCTTGAATTATGAACACCTACACCGTTTTATTTTATGAAAATTAAATCGTTGTTTTCAATGAAAAAATAACATTTCAGGTCATACAACAGTTGCGAATACGTAAGAAAAAAAAATAATAATATACAAAGTAAAGCATGAATATATAAAGTTTTTGCATAGTTCGAAATCACTTTGCGGAATGTTTACGTTGCGTAACTGCGGAAAGCGGGATTTTGCGCCCTTATGTGTGTTTTTCCTCAGTATTTTTTTTTCTTTTTGGAAAATTTGATCGCGGACGGATTTCCCTTTTGCGGCGCAAAGGGGAGAAAGAGGCCACCCGCAAACACAGTGACCCGATTCGGAACGCGAGCGAGCGGGGTGGTTGGGGGGATGTGTTTGGAAGCGGATCGATCACCGAGGGCGAACAAGGCCAGCGCGTGGCCCTCCTACGCGGCAAGGGCGCTTCTACCTGTATGTGTACATATACATATATATACGTATGTATATATATACAGTGTGTGTATGTGTGTGTGTGTCAGTAGCACCTAGCGCCACCCCCTGCGATATATCCTCCTTTATTTATACAAACAGAATAGGTTCGCGCCCTACATGTTCAACCCTCTAACGCGAATTATATCCCTCGCATCCACACACATACCCACATCAAACCGCTTCGCTTAGCTTCATACACACACACAAGTGCACATACCCGCTCTCTCACATCCTCGCACATACACACACACACACACACATCGAAGATTGTTATCTTTGAACGAAGTAAAAAAATATATTAACACCACCGGGGAAGCACATATGTTTAACACATTACAATTTTAAACAGACACACACAGAGAGATGAGGAAAAGGAGAGGAGCCAACCCCGAGGGAAAGACGAGGAGGGAAGAACAGAAGCAAAGAGAAGAGAAAGACCGAAAAGAAGGAAAGAAGAAGAAAAAAAGGATCGTTTTTCGAACAGTTGCAGAAAAACAAAATAGAGGAGTTTCGATGTCACCGAAGGGAATTTTAACTGTAGGAGGAGTAAACCGATGTTGATTGGATCGCGCAGGGGGAATTCAAAAATTTGAAAGTTTCGAATGGACAACAAAATAAAAAATGATAATAAAACCGTATCTGTGCGTGCCGCAAAGTTTATTTATAATTTTGCAAAGCATTAGCGTTATTTTGAATTGATCGACGGCTAAATATAGGTACAAATAACAAACACGGGACTGCTTTTGGATGTCCTGCGAACCGCTCACCCGAAGACCCTCTCGTGTCCAAATGAGAAATGTCACGAGAGTGTGACAATCACATGGCGATGGGAAACAAATAAATGCGAAGGTTTTGCGTACGTTGTATGTTTTGTGGAAAAGTTGCGAAAACTTTGAGGACACCGGAGTTTCAATTTTTAATAAAAATTCGAAGTAATTATTTCTTTCATCCAAAGCGCGGTTTTCTTTCAAGGCTTCTCCTATATCTTTCAGACTGTTGAAATCCGACTCACCTAGGAATCGCGTCACATAACTTTTGTCTTTGTGCACAAGACGCGTCGCGACACAGGAGGAAGTCAGAGCGCACCACGCGAGAGAGGCACACAATCTACATCTAACGAGAGACCCGGCTATGGCTGTGACACAAGGCTCGTGCCAAGCTGCGAAGATACGTTGATACCCGCCACCGACGGCGATGCGCGATTGGTCGATACGGTTGCGTGACGTCACGGGGAGAGCGACCAATCAGAGAGCGGCGTCGGCGTCGGTTCCTGCGTTGTGCGCCGTCCGTCGGCCGCCGACCGCCGCTAGTCAGCTGGAGCCGCTCTCGGGTAGCCAAGACGCGTGGGGTAGCGGTACGAGATAGAAAAGGATGGAGGACTATTCGAGAGGTTGGGTGGAAGAAGGACGATGAGGATAATGGATAGAGGATAGAGAGAGAACGAGAACGGGTACGAGAGAGCCATCTTCATCTCGTCCCCGCTCACCGACAACCGCACGCCCCCGTCCCCGCTCTGCCCTGCCGTCCTCACAAATACAACACCCTCCCTCCCCCCAACCGCCCTTTGAATTGAGGGCCGCCCCCGCGCGCCCCCGCACGCACCCGCCACGCACGCACGCCGCGACCATCAGGACCTATCTCTATCGCGACGGCGGCACACATGCGGCGCAGCAGTGCGGCCGTCCTCGTCGCACCTACGCGGCTGCCGCTCCTCTCTTCTCCTCCTTTCCCGATTCTAGCGAAGAAATTTCAACAAGAAACAGGAGGTGAAGAGAAAAAACAGACCTCCACTGATGTAGCGCTTCCAGATGGTGAGTGCGTGGAAGCGCCCAACACGAAGAGAATAGGTCTCCAACCATCATTTACTATAAATCAAAACCGCTGGATTGGATTCACGCCTCCCCGTAGAAATCGACGTCGCCGCGATCTTCCTACAAACTTCCGATTACCTTATGCAGGACTTCACTGAATCCTTATCATAAGCTTAAACAAACTACGACATTTGCATACTCTTTCACGAACATAACAATGGGATTATATACAAAACAAGCAAATAATCCTTACTGTCCAGAATACTGTCTATACATAATCTAACTTTCCCTAATAACTAACAAATATATAACTCTAGTATTAATATACATATATGAACCAAATTAGGCTTCTTGTGGAAACAAATTTAACGGATCTTATTTAATTAACACAATATTAGATTTTTTAAATATTTTTTTCTCTATTATTAATATACAATTTGCAGTTCTTTTTAATTCAAACAATATTTTACGTTTTTCATAATATCAATAAATTTATGCTTTATTTTGTCTTCATTTCTGTTAATTTTTGACAGTTGATAAGTTGATAAGATCCATACCAATATAATAAAACAATAAAATGTCAAAAACCTGAAGAAGTGAATTCGTCCTGCATAAAAAGAAGTTTTAATATAAAATTTAGATTTATTAATTAATGCTCTAAAGACGAGTAACAATAAGAAATAAAATAATATTTAGAGTTATTAATTCTTATTCCTTTTAATATATAGTTTTTTGTTCTATACATTTTATTTTGTAATAGTTTTATGTAATAT